GGGAAAGATATAGGTCTAGTCTTAGTCTTTGGCAAGTTGAAACCCAATTTTTCCAGCACCATTTATTAAAGAGGTGATCTTTCCTCCAGTGAGGTTGTTTGGCTCCTTTGTCTAAGATGAGGTGGCTGAGTGTGTCTGGAGTTGTTTCAGCATCTTCTAATCTGTTCCACTTGTCCTCAGGTCTGTTTCTTTGCCAGTACCATGCTATTTTTATCACAGTAGTATTGTAGTATAGTTGCAAGTTGGGGGTTGTGATACCCCCTGCCATGTCTCTGTTGCCTAGAATTGCTTTTGCTATTCTGGGTCTCTCCTTGTTCCAAATGAATTTTTGGATTATTTTCTCAAGATCTGTGAAGTATGCTGCTGGGATTTCAATTGGGATTGCATTGAATCTATATAGAAGTTTTAGAAGTATGGCCATTTTCACTATGTTGATCCTTCCTGCCCAGGAGGGGATGTCTTTCCATTTTCTGATATCATCTTCAATCTCTCTTTTCAGAGTGTTATAGTTTTCAGAGAAGAAGTCTTTGATTTCTTTTATTGGGTTGATTCCTAGGCATTTCAGTTTCTTGGATGCTATTGTGAAAGGAATTGTTTGCCATATTTCTGTCTCAGTGAGTCTGTTGTTTGTGTAGAGGAAAGCTATTGATTTTCGTGTGTTGACTTTGTATCCAGTTGCTTTACTGAATTTGGTTATTAAGTCTAGAAGACTTTTGTTGGTGTCATTGGGGTCTACTTTATAGGGTATCATGTCATCTGCAAATAATGACAATTTGACTTCTTCATTTCCTACCTTTATTCCTTTTATTTCTTTCTCTTGTCTAATTGCAATGGCTAATGTTTCCAAAACTATATTGAACAGGACTGGTGATAGTGGACATCCTTGTCTTGTTCCTGATTTTAGTGTGAAAGATTTCAGTTTTTGACCACTTAGTATGATATTGGCTGTTGGTTTTTGAAAGATGGATTTTATCAGGTTGAGGTAGAGATCATCTATTCCAATTTTTTGTAGGGTTTTTATCATAAATGCATGTTGGATTTTTGTCAAATGCCTTTTCTGCATCTATTGAGATGATCATATGGTTTTTGTCCTTGGCTTTATTGATATAGCATATTATATTGATTGATTTGCATATGTTGAACATCCCTGCATCCCTGGGATGAATCCCACTTGATCAGGATGTATGATCTTCTTGATGATCTTCTGCATTCTATTTGCCAGTATCTTATTAAGGATTTTTGCATCTATGTTCA